GCTCGTTGCATCCTCTTTCTCATCATCTGGCTTATAACTGGAGGAAGGCACCACTTTTGGTTCCTGCCTAATCTGACTGCTGATGTGGGCTTCATTGACTCCTTCAGGCCTCTGTACACACATGAATACAAAGGACCAAAAGCAGACTTAAAGAAAGATGAAAAATCAGAAGCCAAAAAACAGCAGAAGTCTGACAGTGAGGAAAAGTCAGACAGTGAAAAAAAGGAAGATGAGGAAGGAAAAGTAGGAGCAGGAAATCATGGAACAGAAGGCTCAGGTGGAGAACGGCATTCAGACACAGACAGTGACCGGAGGGAAGATGACAGGTCCCAGCACAGTAGTGGCAATGGGAATGATTTTGAAATGATCACAAAAGAGGAACTGGAACAGCAAACAGATGGGGATTGTGACGAGGAGGAAGAGGAAGAAGATAATGATGGAGAAACACCTAAATCTTCACATGAAAAATCATAATCTGACTAATTTGGGGGCTGAATACGTGCAAGAGGTTGGATTTTCTACGTTGGCAGATCATCATAATGTACATGTGCATTTGTAGCATTCTTTAAGTCCATTTGCTGAAAGTATTTGACAGCCAAACAGTTCTATTCAGTCTATTTTATAGAATATTGGTACTATTATTGGTACAGTCTAAAGCCATTAATAAGTTTTATGCATTTGATAATTTTACAGTAAGTAGGTCTCATTTTGATAGTTATCAAAGATGCATTTTCCACAATGACCTTTAGATTAAGGGCATTTTTCATAGTTATATGGCTTTTTACTGTTAGATTAATCAAAAGGAATAAACTCCAACATTTCAGATTATTCATAATTTAGCTATTTCACAAGTTTCTTTAGGTTAAAATACTTAAATTCATTGTTCTTGAAGTTATACTTCTGTTTTTCATTGTAAAATTCTACCAGGAAATCTCTAAAGATTCTGAATAGCAGTGTTCAAATTTGATGGGAAAAGGCCAACTGGTCACAGTGCGGGAAAATTTTTGGTTTAGCTACAAATTCTCCTTTCCAACTTAGGAAATCCAAGCTGAATTGTACACTTGGTTTAGAGAAAGATGGTCACCTCCAGCAGGAGAGCGAAGAGCATCGGTCGGAAGGTGACAGCTCTTCTTTCTCCCCCTCCCCTTGTCATAACATAAAGCGTATTCTGTACATAATTTACAAATAAAACATTTTATTTTAATTGTTACTTATTATTTAGACATTTCTCCACACTTAAATTTGTAAAATTAAGATCATGTAAGGGTATGTTTTTAGAGAAATGGAAGTTTGATAACCCATGGAACATCTGTAATCTTTCTACAGCAGCTTCAGTTTTGTGCCAACATTCCATGTATTTGAATATAAGTAAAAACTGATCCTTATCAAATAAGAGCAGAGTTAAAGTAGCTGTTTGTACGCCTTAATGTTCATTTTGATTTATTTTGAATCTTTGCATTCAGAAATGAAGTACTGTGTTTTCAGACCAGGAGGCACTGCTGTGAAAGGTAATTTACTGTTCTAAAATAGCAATTTAAAATAAAGGCTATAAAAGAAAACATAGAAAACCATTGGACTAATTGCTTCAAACTGGTTTTGCAGTTTGATTTTTGTCTTACAAAGTATACTTACAAATCTTAGAAAAACCTTGTTTACTTACAAGCATAATCATTCCTTGGAGTTAAACTCTACAAACTTGATAGTGAATATTAAATGATTTTCCTTGAGTCACAGAGTATTTTGCTTTGTAGTTGAAACAGGTGGAGTATGTAGGTCTTTTTTCTTTGGGTTGTTCACCATGCAAGTGTTGGACTAAAAGTGTTACATTCTTCTAATTGTGAAAAAATACATTAACACATCTTATTAAACATGGCTTGGTTGCTTCTTTATAGCGTTCCCTGTAAGTGGACGGACATGTGGCTATTTGATGTTAAAGCAACGCTGTCGAGGTGGCAGGCATTTTGAGTTTTCTGTTTGCAACTGTTCATTGGTTTCAGTGCCTGGGTACTTTCTCCTCACATTTGCAGACATGTACAGTGAAGTTGTGTGAAAAACCATAAAAGTAGCTTTTGAGCTGCTTAATCACTGGTCACATTAATACTTATTTGGGATTATAAATATGGTACCAAAAGTGTTTTTCAGAACTAAAAGTGATTTTATTAACTTTTACTACTATGAAATACCCAGGCACTCAATAATAATCGTAAAGGTCTTTATAACATGTGTACTGTCTAGTCTTAAAGACATGTATGTGAAGCATGGCAGTCATGAAAGCTGCTTCCTGTTGTGTGTGGATTCTCAATAGTATATTGGTACTCGTTTTTATAAATATTTGATGATCCCTTAGGGGAAATAATCTTACTGTGAGAAAAGAAGTGAGTTAGTATGTTTTATAAATTGAACTTTTCCTTATTAGAAACTGGAAAAATGCATGTACAATTGATTCTTGTTACTTGCAGTGCTTCTATGAAGTTATTGTGGACACTGAATTAGCAACCGCTGGACCCAGGGGAGATGTAGGGCTAGGTGTCTACAAGCCTTCGGTTACATTTTCATTGGTGAAGTAATATATATACTTTTTAAAGATGTATTTTAAAGAAGCTAATATGTTTTGTCAATTCATTAGCATGAACTTACAATCATCATTGTAACTCATGCCTGAATGAAGCTATTCTAACGTCTGTATGTTCTCTTAAGAGGCACATCACATAAATTTTGCACTTCAGGAACATAAGACACTATCTTCAGCACTATACGCGGGCTATTTAAAAGGTGAAATCACTCGCTTGTGATGGTACATTCCTGTAATACTAGCCCTGGGGAGGCTACAGCAGGATGTTCATAAGTTCAAGACCACTATATGCTACATAACTAGATTGAGGCCAGCTTGGGGTACATAGATCTTGTCTCAATCCCCTGATACCCAAAAGTGAAAGACCATGGCATTAAGTAGAGCAAAAAGGACATTTGTGTAAGTGTGAGAGCTAGAATAAAAACCTCGTTCCACCTCGGAGAGAGTGGGCAAGTTGCATTTCTTACTATGCGACACATAGCTGCAAAAGCACTACCAAAATTATAGACAAATTTACAAATATGGAACCCACAAAACATTGCCTGCACTTAGCTATAAGGTTGTGTTTACCTATCTACCTACAGAACAAAAACTGCTGCATCACATTCCAGCATTTGAGTAGCTTTTAAAATAACCACTATGTCTTGAATAAATAGATCTTCATTTTTGTGTAGATAATTTGTTTTTACTGTTAGAGCAATATTTTCTGTGTTCATTCACTAATAATGAGTAGTCACCATACTAGACACAGCCTTGAATAAAAATCCAGTTTGCCCTCTTGAACCAGCGAATAGTGTGGTACATGCTGTGATGGGTTTGTCGTACGTGCTGGGTTCTCTCTCATCTGCCCCTCCAGGTTCCACTGCTCTCTGCCCTGGGAGGCTGACCATAATGGACTATGCCAGTGGGCTCTAGGCCCCTTGGCTTCTCAATAGGTTTGGCCAGCTCATGTCCTAGCTGACAATTGTCAGGGTGTGTGTTCTCTTGGCTGTTCCCCTAGTAAAGCTGCCTCAGCAGTGAGAGGTCACCACTTCACCCAAACTAGCCTGCACTACCTCATTCTCCTTTATCTGAAGATAACATTAGTTTCAATGCTAAGAGCATGGAATTTCTGAAGTTGGTGTGCTTCCTGTCTGTGTCCCCCATTTCCTTACTTCAACTGTATTGTAGCTTCAACTGTCAGTGTAAGAACTGTTTCCTGTTGGAAGGCCAGTAAACCACAAAAACCAAGTAAAATTTACTTGTCAGATCCTTGTCACCAAACACTTTAGAAAGGAGACCACAGCTTTACAGCGCATGTTGTGAGAGTCCTGGTATGTGAATTTGCGTTCAAGTGGTCATCTATGCAGAAGACTGCAAGGAAATTAAATCTGCCTCCTTTAACAAGCTTGTAAGCACTTGTAGCATTGAGTTCATTTTTGAGTAGATCCAGATATACTTATTCTACTTTTTCAACTTTTCCAGGAGACCTTTTCAGCTAATTTCATGGCTGTACTGTCCAGGTAGAATTTCAAGAGGGTGTATCTTAGGGTTGTAGTTTTAGGAATGTTGAAAAAGTCTATGATCTCATTAGCAGTTTATGTTTCTCCTGAGTCAGATCATCATAATTTGGTCTCATTTCATTTTACAGAAATTCCTGCATCACTTCAACTTTTTTTTGTTTTTTGTCTTTTTGAGGCAGGGTTTCACTTTGTAGTTCAGGCTGGCCTTGAGCTCACTTTGGAGCCCCAGCCAGTCTCAAACATGTGACAGTCCTCCTGCCTCAGCCTCCCAAGTGTTATCATTACAAGCATGCGCCACCAAGTCCAGCAACTTTAACTTTTTTGTGCCATGAACAAACCTCGGAAGAATGTTCTTTAAGGAAAAAAAAGGTGTAATACATGGAATTATTAAAAAATTATACAAATGTAATTTAGCAAAATATGTTAAATTCTGATACAGTAATATGTGTGTGAGTTTAATCTAGGAAGGGGTCTAATGACATTAAAGTAGCATAAATAAGATCTGCAACAAAGATAAAGTGTTATCTGATATCTATTAACAAAGATACCACTAATACAACTTTGGGTTGTTGTCTGTATTTATAATTGAAGGAAATACTGAATTTCGATTATAATCTAGTGAAAATAATTTTTCCTCATCCGTGTTAACATCTATTGAATTGTGTTCTTAAATTCCTTGGAGGTGTGTGACCTACAAGAACCTCTGATCTACCAAATCGGATCCACCAATGTTTGAAGAGTGTATCATATTCAAAGATCAGTAATGCCTAATTTAGCATAATTTAATACTTAATATCTCATGTCTACCTCATCACAAATTAGCAAGTTTTTAGAAATGTATATGTCTTACGTTTCTTGTTACAGAGACAAAATACCTGACAGCTAAGATTAAAGAAGGAAAGATCTATTTAGCTCACAGTTTGTAGAGGTCTTAGTCCATAGTCTGGTGGCACATGGCACAGGGCACCAGTTCCTGGTGGCAGAAGACAGCAAAAACAGGAAAGGAGAGCAGTCATGTGTCCATCCCTTATAATGCATGGAAGATATCTGCCCTTGGGCATAGAATCAGCTGATTGAAAAGCCCACCCCCATGACCCTGTGAGGCTTTGGGGGGACATCCAGACACAATATCTTATGTATTTTTAAAAAATGGATTCTTTATTACTCTTAGACAAAAAGTGTAGAAATGTGTCACAGTGTGTGAGAAGTAGGGCAGAGTCTGATGTGTTGTTAGGGAATGGACATGAAATATCCCCAAAGTCTCGAGTGTTGAAGGCTTGGGCCCCTGTGCAGTGATGTTCAAAGATGGGGCAGGTGGCAAGTGATTGGATCAGGAGGGCTCTAAACTCAAAGGCGGAGTCACCCATTTCCATTGATGAGTTAAATCAAATGGAGTACTCCAGTGGGGGAGGCTGGGTGCAGGGAGCGTTGAAGGAAGTAGATCAGGGTATGAGTCCTTGAAGGGTGTCCCTGACCCCTTCATCACTCTCTCTTGCTTCCTGGCTTTCATGAATGAAACAGTCTAAAAATTTCTATCACCATGATGTTTTGCCTCATCTCAGACCCAAAGTTACAGACCCCAAAGAAACCATAAACCAAGTTAGCCTTTCCTCATGGAAGTTGTTTTCTTCAGGTATTTTGTCACAGTGATAGAATGCTAATTACTAATACTGAGATTATCTTTCAATCATTGAACAAACAAGTAATTACCATGTACCAAGCATAGTGTAATGCTAACTCAAAGAGCTAGTTTAGTGAGAGAGATGAATATTCATTGAAGCAGTTGCAACAAAGTTGTATGTAGTGTTAAAGAGTATTCATGACATGCTTATGAAACCACATAAGTGAGTGCCCAGCCAAGACTGGGAACATCTGGAAAGGCACCCTAGAGAAATCTCATGATCTTGAAGGTATTAAGAAAAGAGCCAGTGTGGCAAGATGTGCAGAGTAAGAAGCAGTGACAAGCTTCACGTGTTCCAGGAGCTGAACGTAGTTGAGATGCAGCTAGAAAACAAACTGGCAAGCACATCATTGCCTCGAGTCTCTTCCCTTGGAAAAACATCTTTCTGTATTAGCCTTCCTTCCATTCCAGGGAGACTGCACTCCAGTAAAGCACACAAGCCAGGCCAATCGAAGCCCTCTCACTTCTGCAGGGCTCTTAAATCTTACTCTGCTATCCACATGGGAAATGGGTTAGTGAGGGAGAAGTCATGGAATAAAATAATATGTCTGTGTCATGGTCGTCTACTTACCTGAATATTCCCAATATTTCTTGGTTTTGCACAATTACCCTCTCATTCTTTTTGAAGCAATTAAAATTTTTCCTTCATTATAGAAAAATCAGAATAGTAGCAAGCAAAACCAGAAACTTAACCATATCATCCAGAGACAGCCATGCATACATTCCACAAAAACTGCCCATCTAGTTTTTACACTACAAGTGTGTCCACCGAGGTGGGAAGTAGATACTAAATAAATGGGCCATACTACATAAATGGGCCCTCACTATTAGACTATACAGAAATTAATCTGGAAGAGAACATAATGTGTGAATACAAAGACTTCAAATTTTATCAGAAGAACCAATTATTGACATGTTTGACTTTAAATTCTCACCAGTTTCAAGCTTTGAAATGTAAATGAATTAAACTTAGACTACGTGTGCACCACATGCATAGTACAGATCATATTGTACATTCTGCTGTATTTGATGCTGAACATAAGAGGTTAGGCCAGGTGTAGCGATCCTAGCGCTTAAAAGGCTAAGGTGGGAAGATCACAGGTTTGAGACCAGCCAGGACAAATAGCAAGACTGTCTCACAAAAGGGGAATGGTGGAAGATCTTTATAATAGTTTGTTATGTCTTCAGATACACATTTTCACCTTTTACAATTATGGCACATTGCACTGCAAAGCAAAAAGGTCAATACTAAGCAAATTAGTCTACAACTAAGACCAAGAGCAGCAAACCTAAGAGACTGGTCTACATTTTATATATACAATAACTGACACACTTGGACAGTAAAGATCGGTTAGGAGCTACACAGAGAAAACACTATGAAAGTTCATGAAACAAATCTTATTACAAGAACCCTCAGTGTTACTGAAAATGCATGTGCAGAAGCCTTTGTAGTGATGCACACCCTGTAGTCCCTGGCTACTCCAGAGGCTGACAGAGAATTGTTTGTGCCTATGAGTTTGAGGCTACCATAGGCAATATAACAAAATCATACTTTTTTTCTTTTATTTAGTTCAGGGTCTACAGGGTCTCACTATACAGATAGGACTCATTGTGATCCTCCTGTTTTCAGCCTCCCAAGGGCTGGGATTACAGGCACGCACCACCACGCCCAGTTTCAATCGCTGTCTCAGTGCACCCCCCCGGGTGGGGCTGACAGTGTGCTGGGGATTGAACCCTGGTCCCTGTGTCTGCCTAAGCAGGTGCTTTAATCTGCTGAGCTTTCTGGCCAGCCCTGCAAGATCATATCTTAAAACTCCACAAAAATAACCAGCCAGTGTGGTGCACACCTGCAGTCCTGGCATACAAGTGGCTGAGGCAGGAAGATCATTGTAAGTTTGAGGCCAGCCTGGGCTACATAGTTGAGTTCAGCGCTGGCCTGGACTATCTTGTCAAAACCTGTAAAAACAACCTGCAGACAGCAAAATAGACACAAATGCAAGAACTCAGAAGATGTCTGGAGCTTCCCTCAGTTTCCAGCTAAAATGACATACTGGAGAGTGTTGTGGACAACTAAGGTAAAATTATTATAGGCAGTGAGACAGGGTTAGGTCTTCCAAAGGAGTCAGTACAGGTGGTACATTATAACTGTGACTGGGGGCACATCTGTTAAAGGCCAGACCTCAAGACAAAGATAAAACCATTACCCTACTTAAGTTCCTAAGGATAAACAGCAATAATTCGTATTCTAAATTGGTATGAATCCCCTTGGGTAGGGAACCAAAACCTCCCTTTCAGGTAAAGTCCCATTAGTTCCATGTACACTTGCTACATGACTTGCTTCCTCATTTAGTCAATATTACCTAAGTGATTATACTCATAACCTTATTGCTTGACCATAGTTTTGTTCCACCTCATACCCACTTTGTGATTTCCCATTGGATCAATGTTACCTAAATGACTGTACTTGTATTAGCTGATTATAGTTTGTCCCCCCAAGACCCACCTCACCTCATGGTTTTGCTCTATAAAACTCCCTTGAGAAGCAGGGGTACTTGGCAACTCAATTGGGACCTCTTCTGTCTCTCTTAAGCAGAAGAATT